CCGCCGGCCCTGGGGCGTCCTGGGGCTGTGGCGGCGGGGCGCGCGGCCGAGGCGGCCTTGGACAAGCTGGGCAAGCAGCTGCGCGCCCTGGGTGAGGTGGTGCTCAAGGTGGTGGGGGTGCAGCCGCTGTCGGCCGCCAGCCGCCGCACCGCACCCTTTGTGCCGGAGCCGCACCCGCTGGTGGGCGGCCCGGGCGGGCTGGCGGCTGCGGCGGCGTCCCCCCAGCTGCCGCGGTGCCTGGAGCCCCTGGAGGTGATGGTGCAACTGGAAGGCTCAGGTGGGCGATGCGGTCTCTTTATTGGGGTTTTTGGGGGGGGGCCTCGTGCATCCCAGTACGTGGATATCAGGTGTTTTGGGACCTGATGTGAGGCTTTTGCCAGGTGGTAGTGTGCATGCCACAAGTTCCACCCAAGCTTCAGTCCCTCTCGAAAAGTTTATGCCCCTCAACGCCTCCCCGGCTAACCCCATGTGTGTCCGTTCCTGCCATAAAATATGTCAAGGCCGCTGGCCGGACGACCTGGCGGCCTACGGCAAGATGAAGGCCGCCATTGGCTGCCAGCTGGCGGGGGCGCTCGCGTCGGCCGCCGGCTTCACCGCGTCGCCCTCTGAAGAGGCGGTGGACGTCTTTGTGGACGGCTTCGCCTTCCGCCTGCTCCTCTACACTGACAGGTGACAACAGCCCGCCGCGTTCTGTGGCTTGACATTTGCAGCACCTACAACCAACTGATGTTCGCTGCTCTCTCGCTGCGGCCACATGCGCTGTTGTTTGTCAATGATGGCGGGCTTCGTGACCCCCATGCTGCCAACTGCCTGTCCTTTTCCTCAACACCACAGGGACGTAGCAATGCATGCCAAGGCGGCCGCGGCTGGTCCACATGCCCACCATCACCATGCTGCGGCACACAGCCCCCCGCGCGTGCTGGTGCTAAGCTGGCACCACGGCCTGGTGGCGGCGCTGGAGGGGCAGTACGCAGCCTTTGGCCCCACCTGCCGCTTGGCCAAGCGGTGGCTGGGCACGCAGCTGCTGGGCAGCCAGCTGGGCTGTGAGGCCGTGGAGCTGCTGGTGGGCGCCGCCTTCTGCGGGCCAGCGCTGGCACCACCCCCAGCATCGCGCGTCACGGGTGAGGCGCTCGACCTAAGCCAGGCATGTCCATTTTTTTGGGGGGGGGGCAAGTGGCTGCACGCTGCATGTTCACACATGCTGCAGTGGGCAATGTGCCTGCCTGTTACAACGCACCCCGCCCCCGTGCTCCCTGCCTCATGGGACCTCCACCTGCAGGCCTTCTGCGCTTCCTGCAGCTGCTGGCCAGCCACCCCTGGCTGCGCGCCCCCCTGCTAGTGGACCCGCTGCGCGAGGTGGACGCAGCCCAGCGGCGGGCGCTGCTGCAGCAGTATGAGGCGCGGCGGGCAGCAGGCAGCGCTCCTGCCATGTTCATCTCAACACCGCGCGACATGGCTTACAGCAGATGGTGGGTAAGGCTGCGGGGGCTGTTAGGGGTGGGGCATGAGGCGGGCTCTTGGCTTCCTAGTGGAGCCGACTCGCTCCCCATGCGACACAGAAGCTACGGATGGCGCTCCAACTAGGACTGCCGTGCCCATTCACAGTGGCACGAACTGTTTCCTTGCGGAGCTAGATCACACCCGGCCCCCATCGTACTGCTGCCAGCTCTGCTGTGCTGGGTGCAGTTGGTTAGGCGGCCGACATTCCTGGTAGCGAGGCATATGTTCCACACACCTGACACATGCGTACGCAGAACTATGGCAGGCACCTCTTACAGTGTCCACCCTCCGTGCTACGCCTGTTCTCCACTGACCCCACGCTACCGCATGCAAACCGTGTCGCACCAGGACCGTGGACCGCCCCAGCGCCGGTGTGCTGCAGCACCTGGTGGGCGCAGCAGCGGCGGCGGCCGAGCAGCTGTCGGCGCTGCAGGAGCGCCTGGAGGGAGCTGGGGACGCGTGGGGCGCCCTCTTCGCAGCGCCCCTGGAGGACTTTGATGCCTGGGTGCTGCTGAGGAGGGACGCGCTGCCGCACGCTGACCGCGTCATCCCCGGGGAGTCGGCACGGCTGTCCAAGCACCTAGAGCGCCATGCAGCGGGACACGGCAAGCGCAACCGCGGCGCCAGTGCAGATGCAGGCGTGCCCGCAGCCAAGTCGGCGAACGCTGTGCTGCGGGCTTTCCCCCAGCGCGTCCTGGCGAGCCAGCCTACAGACGCGCTGCTGCCGGAGCTGCTGGTGGGCTTTGACCCTGTGGGGCGCTACCTGGCGCTGCTGGAGGAGAGGTTTGGACACCTGGCCGTGTTCTGCGCAGACACGGCAGGCGGCTTCCCTGCAGTGGGCGTGAAGTGGCAGCCGGCCGCCTTTGTCCCGTCACCCCTGCGGCCTGCGCTGGCGCACTGCGTGGTCGAGGTGGCCCCAGGCCTGGGTGTGCCCAACCTGGCCCAGGTGCTGCACGAGATGCACCTGCTGGGGGAGGGCCTGGTGCAGGAGGTGGTGGCGCTGTAAGGCCGCCGCCGCTGCGGCCCTGCTTAGGATGCTGTTGTTGTAGCACGGCCATGTTACTCAGTCGTGAACACAGTGCCCTGGCAGGGTCGACACACCATTGCCTGTAATAACGAACAACAGCTTGGGCTGCGCTGTCACAATGCTGCGGTGATGACGCAGGGCGTGCATGGTAGGAGCAGAGTTCAATTGCACCGGTGTCTAAAGCCAGCCGCGCGCCCAGTAGTAACCGAGGGCAAGGCATTCACGCCAAAAGTCCCACTGATCTGCCAGGCCGTCGAGCACGGGGCCGTAGCCACGGTGCCCTGCGAATGGCGCCGCCGCCACGTACAGCTTGTAGGGTGCCCCCGGGACGTCCACTGCCATCCCCAGGTCACGCATGGCGCGCCTGAACACCAGATAGGACCGGAGCTGGTGGAAGGGATTAGTGACCAAAACCACGCGGTGCCAGTGGACGGCACCGCGAATTGGTGCAGTGCTGGTTAGCTGCTGCTGCTGCTGCTGCTGCTGCTGCTGCTGCTGTTCAGACTGCTCCTTCTCCTTCTCCTTCTCCTGCTGTTGCTCCTGCTGCTGTTGCCGCTGCTGCTGGTGCTGCTGCACCATGGCAAGACTGAAGAGAGCGTTGGTGCGGGTCGACGTGGACCTGTCCTCAAGCAACCACCTGATTGTTTTGTGGGATTGATGAGTGGGGAAAACGCCTTCTGCTTAGTCGAGTCTGACACAAGGTAAGGCTGCACGCCTTGCTCAGAACAATCACCCACCAGCGCTCATCGTGGCTCAGGAATGCACGCGCCACCACCCCTTCCTGACACACACCCACACATAAAAACACACACACACACACACACACACACGCACGCACGCACGCACGCACGCACGCACGCACGCACGCACGCACGCACGCACGCACGCACGCACGCACGCACGCACGCACGCACGCACGCACACACACACACACACACACACACACACCTGCCAGGCACCGGCTGCCCGCCAGCAATGTGCAGTGCATAGTCCTCCATAGCGTTGGCTTCGCTGACGTTACGCAGGCCACCACCAGGGTGGGCGCCGCTGAAGATCAGGTGCTGCACGCTGCCCTGGGGAAGGGGGTGGCATGATAGGGAAGTTACGAGGTTGAGATGCAGCACCCAGCACCAGTGTGGTTGAGAACTTGTATGACGCACCAAGCGAAAAAGTTTGAGCTACAACCCTGTGTGGCAGCGGGCGGTGAACCGCACGCCGCACCTGCTTGAACAGGGCAACTGCGACCTCCACCCTGCTTTGCAGCGGCCGTGTGCAGCTGCCGTTCCTGCATTCCAATGAACCAATGTAAAGTCAAGCTCTGCAGGCCAGGACTGCGGTCCTAGAACACATGAATGTATGACAGGCGGTGTGGTCACAGTCCCACCTCGCACGGTCGTGACTGCTGCTGCAAAATACAACACTTGGACCTGCAGCTGCTTCTGGCCTGCACCCCCCGCCCCACCTGTGAAGCGCGTAGCCCAACACAACCCCCACGTCACTCGCTGAACCGCCTGGAACTGGATGTCTATTGCTGCACGAGAGCAGTCCCTGCATCCAGGCTGTGATGCCACGTTGCGCGGCGGTGTGAACGCCCAACGCCAGGAGCGCTGCCGCCGCAGCCGCTATACAGGCGCCCGACCTTTTCAACAACAGCGGCTTGCCTGCCCCTGCGGCTACGACCATTTGGTGATAGTTATTGGTCTGTTCTTGGACTTCTGGACATCCGCTGGTGCTGTGTGCTGCTTCGGATTGCTCGCTGCTGCACGCTGCGGCGGCGACGGTGTCGGGGCCTGCAGCTACTGTACGTATGCAACAGGTCAATCTGGTGTCAGATGTGAGCAAGGTAAAACAGCCAAGTCCAACCTACACAACGCTATCATACAGTCGTTTCGGACGTTGCTTTCTTCAAGAAACGTATGACACGATGGTGGTGCCTGGTGACACTGTGACCCCTAGTGGGATCGAAGAGCAAACCTGTTCGACCGAGCAGGGCGGGTGTTCGTCAGTGCCGTAATTTGCCACGCGCGAAGGAGGTCGTGCTGTGGTCCGCAGATCTCTCTGGCAGCCTGCACTGTCGTGCGCGGAGTGACCTCTGCCATGAGGGCGTCCCAACTCGCGCGCGGATGCGAGCGTGGCGCGATGATGTCCAACAGCATTAGGTGTCGTGTCTCGGCGCAGGCCTACGGTTCACGGGCGGCGGCGGCGGCGGCGGTGCTTGCCTCTGGCCGCCACGCTGGCAGCGGCCGGGCTGCAGTCCTGCGTGCCCGTGCGGCTGAGACCGCCGAAGTCAAGGTGGGTGCAAAGCACACCGCAGCGACAGCGGTGGTCGGCCTGATCGGGCCCCGCCTCGAACGCCGGCCCACCACATCATGCCCCCCAAAGGGGCTTGGGCGCGAGCTCCCCCTGGCATTGCCTGGGCCTGTGCATCACCAGAGGTGCAGGGTGTGCTACGAGTGCATACGTCAGCAACGACTGGGCCATAGTTATCATCTAACCCTTGAAGCAAGCCCCCCCATGCTGGCTGCTCGCCTAGGTTGCCAACATTGAGGCTCCACCTCGGGTGGAGGGCATCGCGGGGGTCGTGACCGACCTGGTCGGAAACACCCCCATGGTCTTCCTCAACAGGGTGGTGCCCCAGAACGGCGCTCAAGTGGCAGGTGGGCCAGCACCGGTGGGCTGCCATTCTTGTGGTGTCAGCCTTGGGAACAACGCTGATGTGGCCGCTCGTGCCTTGATGCTGCCTGTCGCAGCATGCCAATGATCTGGGATGCAAGGGTGGTCTCGCACCTGCAACATGACCGGCCTCACCCCCAAACCACTGGTGCCTGCTTCTGCGCACTCAGCCAAGCTGGAGCTTATGCAGCCATGCTGCAGCGTGAAAGACCGCATCGGCAAAAACATGATCGAGGACGCTGAGGCACGGGGCCTCATCACACCCGGCAAGACAACGCTGGTGGGCGGCCAGGGGGGGCGTTAGGGGAGGCAGGGCTGGGCCAGGACGCACAACCTTTGCCGCAACGCGAGTGGGCGCGACCTGCACCGTGCAATGTGCCCTGGCCTACCATCACTTCTCAGCATCCATGCCACTGCATGCCTCCCCCCTCAACACGCACGCAGGTGGAGCCCACCAGTGGCAACACGGGCATTGGTCTGGCCTTTGTGGCCGCAGCCAAGGGCTACAAGCTGGTGCGCAGCCATTCGTGAGAGGCACGGACAAGAGGAATCACAGCATCGTGGTGGCGGCAGCTGTTCCTGCTGGCCTTCACAAAAGGGGGGTTTTCCGCTCCCCTTGATCTGCCCTGCCCTCCCCCACGCCCCACCTCCTCGCTCCTCCCACAGATTCTGACTATGCCTGCGTCTATGTCATTGGAGCGCCGCGTGCTGCTCAAGGCCTTTGGCGCGCAGCTGGTGCTGACGGGTGAGGGGCCATGGGGGGGGGACGTGCTGACCAGCACCCCCTGGAGGCGCATGCTGCAATCCTAAAGCTAACACATGCAGCAAAGCCCCTGCTTGCTCACAGGGCATCGCACTGATGCCGTGGCAGAACATCAATGCGTCGTCCCTCCCGTTTGCCAACCCTACTCAGACCCAGCCAAGGGCATGAGGGGCGCTGTGGACAAAGCCACAGAGCTGGCGGCCACCATCCAGGACTCCTACGTGCTGCAGCAGTTTGAGAACCCAGCCAACCCGGACGTGCATCGCCGCACCACTGGCCCTGAGATCTGGCGCGACACCGCCGGCCAGGTGCGGATGAGTTGGCTGGGCCTGCGCGAGTCCCTTCCCGCTTCACAGCTGGATCTTCTCCCATGCGAAGACGACGGATGCGTTGTTTCACAGGGTGTCCCTTTGACAGCCTTCACAGCTGTCATGAGAGGCGTGGCTGCTTTCCACAGACGCAAATTTTACACACTTCTGCCTGCACTGCTGTGCCCCTCACCTCTCACAAGGTTGACATCGTTGTGGCAGGCGTGGGCACCGGCGGCACCATCACAGGTGTGGGGGAGTACCTCAAGGCCAAGAAGCCGTCGGTCAAGGTGCGGGCGTGTGCTTTCCACTTGTGATTTCGATAGGTCAGATGCTCAAGCATGTTCTGTAAGCACATACGTTGATGTTCTCAGCTGGGGGCGATGGCAGCTGTGGTGGTTGTGGTGGTGGTGGTGGTGGTGGTGGTGGTGGTGGTTTATTCATGCTTCGTGCATCATTCCTGCGCTTTCCATCAACACTTGTTCCGTATTATTCATGCTCAGGTAATTGCGGTGGAGCCGGCAGAGTCGCCCGTGCTGAGCGGCGGCAAGCCGGGTGGCCACAAGATCCAGGGCATCGGCGCTGGGTTTGTCCCGGGCGTGCTCAACACAGGCGTCTACGACGAGGTGCTGCAGGCGAGATGCGGGGACTTTGGTTGCTTCCCTAAGCGGCATGGGACCGTGCATGGACCAAGAAGCGTATTCAAGTTGCAGGCCGCATGCGGGTACCTTGATATCATGCATTTTGTGTGCAAACATTCACGGTGTATGCCCATCATTTCTGTCGCTGTGGCTTCGATGATCACTCCTTCCCATGTTTCATTTAGGTGTCGTCTGATGATGCAATCACCATGGCGCGGCGGCTGGCGGTGGAGGAGGGTTTGTTCTGCGGCATCAGCAGCGGTGCAGCAGTTGCAGCTGCTGCCCAGGTGATCAGGCGTCTGTTTTCTGTTGTTGTGCTGCGGGCCCGCGCCACCTTGTCGTTTTTGCAACCATGCACCACCCTTGATTATCAAACCCTACAGCTGACTGAATATCAATCCATTTTGCAATCCATTTTGCAGGTCGCTGCCCGCCCTGAAAACAAGGGCAAACTGATCGCGGTTGTCATCCCCTCCTTTGGCGAGCGGTACCTGAGCAGCGCACTCTTCGAGGTGAGATGCATGAAAGCCTGCATGCCGTTCGGCGCTGAAAGGGTCACCCAATGCGGGGAGGGGGGGGTAGGAACTTCGCAAATCAGTCACATTTTCTAGTCCGTGCCATCTGCAGCGCCTTCTGTCCGAATTGATGCGTCAGCTCACAGTGCACTCATCACCATCCCACCATCAGGCCCTGAGGCAGGAGGCAACCAAGATGCAGGCTGACGGTCGCATAAAGCTGAGGGATGTGGCTGGAAGGGAGTTTTACGTCCCTCCGCTCTGAGGCTGACCCCAACGAGGCTTGCATTCACAAGTTGGGCACTAAGTTTTTGGCCAGCAACTGACAAACATTGTGCGGCTGTGATGCCATAATTGAACCCCACACGCCTGAAATGTTTGAATCCCAAGGCATTGACGGCCACAGCTATGGATTAGTCTATGAGCACTTGTAAACAAGCGGTCTGGAGGAGTATGGCCTTTGATTTTTGCGCATGCTGGTGAGTCTCTCACAAGTGCAACAGGCCAAGCAGCTCACTTGCAGCGCAAGAGCCAGTGCAGCTAGCACTGCAACGCCAATGCCTTGAACCCTGCAACAGAAGAAAGGAGGAGGGAGAAAATGGCAGAGGGAGGGAGCTAGGAG